AACTACCGCCTATTCTCTAAAGTTATAGAAGATTCTCAAGTGTAAGAATCAACAATATATGTGTGTATGTAAACGCTAGGGTTAGTGTCAGCATTGTTACGTAAAACTGACATTTCGAGAAACTCTCCACACGACTATAAATATAACCAACGCGACGCGCCCCCAATCAAAAGGGAGTATCTGTTATTGGGTTGCTGTAATTCGTGTGTTATAAAGCTCGTAAGCTATAACTTTGATTAACGCTTATTAATGGGGAACTTCAGATATATTGACCAGGAACGTTTATAAATTTTGAACATTACGAATCATTGAACTTCAGTGGATTTACATTGGACATTAGTACTTTTACGAAGATATTATATAACTTCAGCGGTAAAAGAAACTCGACTTGTAATCGGCGTGTGATCAGTGAGAAGTACAGAGCTAGCTTGCTCCCTATGAAGTGAATCGTACCTACGTCAACTCGAAATTAATTCGCTCATCGTGAACCTTCGATAAGGCATCAAGGAAGTTCCAGACTAGACAGAAGACTATACACTGCCTGTAAGTTTGTAAAACTTTTGTATACAAATTATTGTTTGTAATAACTATTTGTAATAACTGTTATTGGATTATTGGTTGTATATTAAAATATATTTGTATTAAAAAAACTGTGTGTATCAATCTTGTTGGCAAAAATCATAAATTGGAAATATATTGGCATTTATTTAACTACTAAATTTTAAATGATCATTTAGCTCGGTTTCAGTCCATTCGAAATTGTAATAAGTAACAGTTATCAGTGCTGTGCTCACCACGGGTATTAATACCCGATTTTTAGTATTATAAATCTGTAAACTTACCGCTGAGCCATTTTTTTTTATTTGTTTGAAGGTAAGCACAAAGCTACACAGAACACAGATAGCCCATTATGCTGCTTTATGCTATACAACAAACAAATCTTTTGTAAATAATTATTGCCACTTATGATAAGTATCTGTAATTCAAGAAGTGCACTGTGGGAAATAACCGTTACACTTTGAATTTGTAATTGTTTCTAAAAATACATAGATAGACCTTTTGTATTGGCTGAAACTTCGCTGTTTTAATTGCTTACAAAATACATTTCCACAACAAAAATGAATACGATATTAAATTTAATCATCCAGTGAGATCTTAATATTTTAATATACTGACGTTAATTAAAAATTAAGAAAAAAAATATAAGGCGTGTTTCTAGAAATATTAGATACCGTAGAAAAGTAAAAAAAAAATCATTTTATATGATAGTTTTATTAGGTTAGGTTTTAAGATGTGTTACTCAAGTTTCTTGTTCCTTATTACTCAAAAGATGTCGACTATTAAAAGAAAGTGTCAGTTTACAAACTGTAGGATAAAGTGTTAATAATTATTTATTTCAATAATGTGAACATTATGTAAGAGTATATCTATTTTTAATATGACTAGTGAAGATTTTAATCAGGCAGGCGGTAGTACAGCCTATGTAGGGATGGCTCGGATTGTTCATCGAAATGAGTTTTTTTAATATCTTCTCAATAGGTCATAAGAACTTTACAATAATATACAGTGTTTCCTTTTATAAAAATATCTATGTAATGACTGGAACTGTCTGTAAATATCATAAAAAGTTTGAATTTTTGTTCTTCTTTCTTCTGTTTCTTTTTTATTAGGTGATAACTCATAAACCAAAACAATGGTGTCAACCAATTTCATTGAGGTGACATAGTTTCAAACGGAGTTCTCGCTTTTGTAAGTATTATTATTAACTTGTAGTAATTTAAAAATCGTAATTCTAGTGTAAACAAAGTTATCATTACCCCTTGAAGTTAAGTGTTTTACAAAAATTTTGTGTTCTTTTAAAAAGATTAAGTACAGGGTGAAACAGAAATTACTAGCCAATAATAGATAAACTATTGGAACATCATTGTATTTAGAACTTTGTTATTAATACAACCTTCCTATGTCTATTGAAACATTGCATTAAAAAATCAAACATCTAAAGAAAACTTTTCAAAAAAGGGAGTAATGTAGGGATGGCTAATATCAACTTCTCAAAAACAATTTAAACAAGATAGTATGGATGGTATTTGCATCATCCCTACATAATTGCACAGACAATAATTAACATATAACAGTATAATTATAACTATTCAATCAAACAACTGAGTTTAATTTATCCTATTTTTGTCTCTTAACGTTCTACCACACTGTGTGTCTGTGCTATTATGTAGGGATTATGCAAATGTCATCCCTACTATCTTGTTTGCATTGTTTTTGAAGGATTGGTATTAGCCATCCCTACATTTACTTCGTTTTTTGAAAACTTTTTTTTACTTATACCACTTTCATTTTATGTTTGTAAGTAAGTACACTTTGTTTTGTAATTATTTTCAGAGTGTGCTGTTAAGTGAACAGATTTATTTATCTATTTGTTTGTTGTTAAGCGTAAAGTTACATAACGATTTATCTGTGCTGTGCCCCCCACGAATATCTAAACCCGATTTATAGGGCTATAAGCCTTCATAATTACTGCTGAGCCACTGGGGGACAAACTGAATGGAAGACTTTGCTAAGAATAAAATAATTCTGGCTTTATTTGATAACTGTATATGTGGAAACTTCATGTTTGACAATAAATTTTATTTCGCCTGTCTCAATTTCAGAGTTATCAAGTTTTTTTAATCTGTGAACTAGGAATCCTGGAAATAGCTTCTAAAGTCCCTTTACATCCAGTTCACCCTAATCTCTTAACATATATATTTATTTATTTCTGTTATGGTCAAAAAGGAATGACAGATGAGTTCTGTGTTCAAGCAGGGAATTGGAAGACTTTGCTAAGAATAAAATAATTCTGGCTTTATTTGATAACTGTATATGTGGGAAACTTCATGTTTGACAATAAATTTTATTTCACCTGTCTCAATTTCAGAGTTATCAAGTTTTTTTAATCTGTGAACTAGGAATCCTGGAAATAGCTTCTAAAGTCCCTTTACATCCAGTTCACCCTAATCTCTTAACATATATATTTATTTATTTCTGTTATGGTCAAAAAGGAATGACAGATGAGTTCTGTGTTCAAGCAGGGAATTACTAGGGGCAAAAGTTAATGTACATTCACGCATTTTGTGTGTGTATTTGTTAGTGTTTTTTTTTTGTAATTTTATTTGAATATTCATTAATTGTTTCAAATGTTGAACCATTTCTTTTGTGATTCAGAAACCTAATATCCTTAATTTGTATTTATCATTTATATTTTAATTTTTTACTCATAAAATTCTATCTTTTCGTCTTTTTACCTTCTTCCCGTAAATTTATATATTACAAGTAAAATAAATACCTGTCTTAATTCTGATTTATTTTTAATGGAGAAGACTTTTTTAGATCAGGAAAATAAATTTAGGTAATTTCATGTGCACCAGTTTTTGTTAATAAATCTTCCGAACAAAAGTAAGACGTTTTTCTTTTAAAATCGAGATGTCTGAACAAACAGGTGTACTGTGACTGTGGTTACGTGGAATAGCTTATACCCAATAACATGGTTATTACCGAGAGTTAACTCAAATATATCTTTGTGTTCAATTGATTTCTTGAACCTACGTGTTTTCCTAACATCATGAATGTTATCAAAAGTTGATATATATATTTAGATGTTAACTGAATGGACGATAAAAGAGTAAGAAATAATTTGATTTCAAATCAATCTTTTTTCACAGTTGAATGATTCGATCGAGTTAAAAATATTGAATAATTGACAAGAGAAAAATATACTGATAAATGTATCTGATTATCTTTATGGTAATATGATAAATGTACCTGATTATCTTTATGGTAATATGATAAATGTATCTGATTATCTTTATGGTAATATGATAAATGTATCTGATTATCTTTATGGTAATATGATAAATGTATCTGATTATCTTTATGGTAATATGATAAATGTATCTGATTATCTTTATGGTAATATAATAAATGTATCTGATTATTTTTATGGTAATATGATAAATGTATCTGATTATCTTTATGGTAATATGATAAATGTATCTGATTATCTTTATGGTAATAATTACGAACATGCTTATATCTATATTTACAATTAAAAGGAATAAAACAATAAAATCGTTACGCAATAAATAGTAAGGATTTTAACGTTGTATCCCTTTTAATTCTAAATATAACTGTTTTGCACAAGTCGTTTTAAATGATTTATGCTTATATTTATTTATGCATGCATTCATATATATATATATAAATTATCGAACCCACGAAGTTCTCTAAACTACTGATTTCATATTTTGTTGAACAGAAATTTAAAAATATATATTGTTTTTTTGTTTAAACAACTATAATCGTTGAAATAAGTTTTTCTAAAAAAAGATGAAATATCAAATCGCTGACAAGACAACTTTTTTTCTTACATATATGTAAATTACTTATGCTCATTAGATCTTTTATTTGTGTGGTGGAATAATATAGTGCATAATTAATAAGTAGTAATACAAAAAATAGCAGAGATACAATGACGACGAAAGAAAACCTGAAAAAACAAGGGTAGAAAAAACTTTAGTACATTTTAGTTCCACAAATGCTTCTTCCCCTAGTGGCACAGCGGTATGTCTGCGGACTTACAACGCTAGAATCCGGGTTTCGATACCCGTGGTGGGCAGAGCACAGATAGCCCATTGTGTAGCTTTGTGCTTATTTGCAAACAACAACAATCTATCAAACACTAGTCAATCAATGGAAATCAGATAGAAGTATTAAATCGATTCCAAATAAACTATTTTATTTTCATAGTGCTGTATGATTGTTAATATTACTTTTAACTCCAGAATTATTACTTTTTAAACATTTAATATATATTTTTAAGTTAAATGGTTGAGAAATACATTTTTTGTTATTTGTATTTTTAGAAGACCTACACAAGGGGAAAGATTAGATCTCTACATCCAAAAGAGAATACAAAATTAGTTTTTTTTTCTATAATTTGAAAATACTTATTTTTTGAATAAATAAGACTGGAAAGATGAATCAATATGAATTACAACAAAGACAAAACAAACCTTTCTTTTCCATTTCTTAAAATGTATTTTTTCTGTTTTTATATTTAAATGTAGTCGTTTCTATTGTGCATTACAGGGAAACTACTAGGATAAGAAATTACTTCTGATTTATAAAGTTGATATTTTAAATACCACTGTTTCCAGCAAAGGAATGTAAAGCCAGTAATATGTCAATTGGAGTATTTTGTACAAGTTATTCATTTATTCATTCATTTAAATTAATCTTTCAGATTATTTAGCCTAAGGACTTTAGGGGCGCCATGAATCTTCAATATAATTATTCAGTTTATTGAGGATATTCAGTTACTAGCGAACAGTGCGAAAACCGCATTGAAAACATTGAGATGTCCTAGTTATTGGTCTTGGATTTTGAATGTATGACAGCAAGACATTTCGTAATTTTTTAGGTGTTATTAGATTCTTAAACTATACGAAAATATTTGATGTAGACAAATCACAAATTGTAATCTGGTAATAAAACGAGGTTCGTGAACAACACATTATGATGATAATATTAAAATATATCATGAACTTTGTTTATTTGTAGTCAGTAACAAAGCTACACGATGGGATATCTGTACGGTATCTACCACGGGTGTCGAATCCTATTTCTGGCGTTATAAGTTCGCAGATTTACCGCCGAGCCACTGGAGGGCGCCCTGAAGTTTCAAAAAGAATAAATTCGTGAAAGTGTGAAACATTGTATACGTTAATTAATTAAAACACCTTTGCCAACAATTGAAACTATAAATTCTTACTATTTAACTAAGTTTAGAGTTCGTTATAAATATCAGCATGTTTAATCACATTGTAGTATTCGTTACTGAAAATTTACGGTTTCCATTTTGACTTTAGGTATCTGTGTCTAACCATGTTCTTATATTAAGCTAGATGACGACAATTTTTCTTTAAGATACTGTTTCAAATATAAAAAATCGTCTAGAGTTTGATCCTTTTTAATTACATTTCTCGCTATTTATCTGTGAATAACCGAAACAAGCTTTAACCACTTGTTTAAGATTAGTTTCAAGCTTTTATTTCCTTATTTTAAAATGTAAACATATTTTTCGAACGTTTGACATATCTTTTCTTAAAATATCACATAATTAGAGAGCTTGGGCTATCTATTCTGTAGTCTTAATTTTCTTGATCATTTCGATTTTAGTGTTTTATTCAAGTCTATGAGTAACTGATTCATGTCAGTTGCTGCGTAACTGTTAGACTTATAATAGCAGTTATTTGTCAAGAAAGAGAACAATTCTCATTTTTCATTCATCAAAAATGTTACTACATTAAGGTTAAATAGTATTTTTATTTTATTTTATAAACAATGTAAGTTCAAGCTTATGTTTCATTTTATTAACAATGTAAGTTCAAGCTTATATTTTATTTTATTAACAATGTAAGTTCAAGCTTATGTTTTATTTTGGTTTTTATGATTTTGTATGCTGTATTTTCTAAGATAGTAGGAAAATAACCGCTCATATGCTATTAATACATTCCACTGCAGAAAAAGAAAAACATTAAAACTGGATTATATTGATGATGTGAAAATGTTTTACAAAGAAATTATGTTAACAAAATAGAGCTGATGTTATATAATATTAACATTAGCACAATTTTGTAAAAATTGTTTGTTTGTTCGATTCCACACACAGCTACTCGAGGGCTATCTGCGCTAGCTGTCACTAATTTGGAAGAGATAGACTAGAGGGAAGGCGGCTAGTCAACACCATTAAATCTTGGACTACTACTGTCAGACCGGATAGTGGGATTCGATCGTCATTCTTATAACGTACCCATGACCTCAAAGTGCTGAGTGCGAGGTTTCTTTTCAGTTTTCATCAGTAAATTGGTAAAGCTCCCCTCCTCAGATAGTTCAGTACAAACGTTAATAAAGTTTAGTAAGTTACTTAACACCATTACGTTCATCCAATATGCTTTTTGTTGACAACGGCTTTCGTTTCACTATATTCAATGTGACAGTTAATACTTTTATTAAAAATAATTCAATTTTATGTAAAAGCGAATCAAACGATTGAACATTTAACGATTTCAGAATAACATAAGGTGTTAATCTGCTAAATGTTTAAAACAAACTTGTTTTTTAACCACTGCTTAGCAACAAGCGTAAAAAGGCAAAACGTAAAAGAGTTGAAATAAAGTACCAAGAGAAGCGTTATGTGTAATGTTTGTTTCACACCACACTATGTTATAATAACGATAAACTAACTTTTTCCATAACATTTGAACGTATATACGTGTGTGTCCGTGTATGAAATATACTTTGTCAAAGTTTTATGTAAACGAGCCTTCATTGAATTTTTTGCAGGTTTTATATATTATATTTTTCTAGATATGAGAACAATATATTTATGATAAATTGATATTTTTTGTATGTTACTTACACATTGCCAAGTTACCTATTTAACAGCAACAGTTCAAAGATTTGGCAGAATTAGAGCTTATTATTAAATCCTTCAGTCGCTTTACAGATCATGGCAGAGGTTAAGGTATTAACTTTTCTCCACACACACACACACAAAAATAAGAACAAAACATTAAAATAATGTTATAGGTATTTGTAATTACACATTACTTTTGTTTTAAAAGTGAAAATGTCGAATTTTCGTTTACCGGACTGAAGATCTAAATATTGTAGTTGTATTATTTATGCAAATGACTTACAATGAAGTAAGCCAGATAATTTAATCTATGTAAGAAAAAAGAACATTTGATTCTCTTTCAGACCATTCAAAGGACATAATACTGGAATAGATTTTAATAATACTGTAGCCGACTGACTTACATTATGCAAAATTTTAAAGCTCTATTCAATATATATATATATATCTGTAGATTGAATTATGCTGTAGCTACAAAGGTCCTAATCTAAATCCGTTGGACGGTGATGTCTAGTGCTCACCATTACCATTGAATTGACTTTACTAGGCCATTAATTAATGGAAAAAGAGGGGAGAGCACGAGGAATAATATCATTGCAGTCAGAACAATCAACATATTAACTGTCCATTTGGTTCTATAACTTATAACTGATATAACTGAAAAATTTTCCTTTAATCATTCATCAAATATATATTTTTTTTAAAGGAGTATTTTTAAAATTTCTATCTAAATACTCAATAATGAGGTTACTTTTATGAATCTGTTTTGCGCTCGGCAGAACTGGAATAAAATATTGTCCTGAATAGTTCTTCATTTTTCCTTATAAGGTTTTAGAAGATTTTGAAATTTTATAATCAGAGCTAGTTATATATAAATAACCAACAGTATTTGAAAGTTTTGGATATGTGAACGCCGCAAGAAGCATGATAATATTTTACAGAAAAAAAGAGTTGTCCAAAGTGAAAAAGAAATCCCTATAAAATAAACATTAAAAACGTGGTGTCAGATAAAAATAACAAATGAGAATTGACCTCCTGCTCTTCAGCGTCCCCAACAGAGAGCGCTGCATGGGAGCAGGCCAAGAAATGAGCTTCAAGTAAGCATCTGTGATCACGTGACGAGCTGTTGTTGATATTACTTTTACGCGCGTGGCTCCTGTAGCCAGTGCTTGGTTCATAGAAAGAAGCAAGTACGCCAAGTACTCGTTTCCTTTGTCTGAATAACTCAACTTTTGAACAGAGGGTAAGTAGTTTTTGTATGTTTATAAACAAGTTTATTCTCTATTTTCCATGAAAATGTTATGATTGTTTTACCCAGCAACTTTCTTGTAAAGTTTGTAGCTCTTTTCCTTATCAAAACGACAGCATAATTCTGTGTCCCAAAGCTGATCCTCACTAGCCATTGATGAAACCTGATTCATTGAAACTTTTCCTGATACAGTTGGTAAGCGTATTTAATTTTTTATTGGAAAATATTGATATCGATATCTAAAAAGAATCAATCCTCTATCAACAAGAATATACTTTTGTAGATTCCCAGCATGTCTGAATAGTTTCTGATAATTTCGTTTCGTGATATAACTTTGTTAGTGATACCGCGGTATGAACGCCTGTATGAATGTTTCTGTTGTCTAGCGTTCCTGCAATGCGGAGAAAACAGCCGTATATCAAGAAAGTCTTAACAACATTTTCCCAGTGAATAAATGGAAATTAAAATGAATTCAAGAAAACTACAGAACATATCCATACAGTTTACGAAACGTATTATTAACTAGAGATTGTTTTGAAAGAAACGTTAATATAAACCGAGGCAATTAAGTAGTGCCCAAAAAGTCAATTGTTAATTAACATTGTAAGCTAACATGAAAGTTAAATAAATATGTTTTTGTGGTAAATAATTTGTATTCAAAGCCTTCTGCGAAATTATATCATATCATATAAAATTAAGAACTGCTATGAAGCGTCCCCGAAGTTTGTCAGAGAATATTAAGATTAGAATGATCCTTTAACATGAAGTATATATTTGTTCACAATTCAGTGACGTCTATGAAGTGTTGACAGAATTTGATTTATTAGCATAAATCAATATCCAGGGTAATACGTTTCATTTAATTTAAGTGTTGATAAAGTTTAGCTTATTAGTGCAAATCAATATACAGGATAATATATTTCAGCTAAAGTTTGTCAGTGAAAGATTGGTGGTTTGTCAGTAAATTTTGCAAGTGTAAATAAAATATCAATGGGATTTCAATGAAAATATCGATTTAAGTTAATTAATGTCCATTCGTTGCCTAGAAGCATCAATAAAACTGTTATTCAAATTCAAATGAATATTAGGCAAGATGTGTTGATAATATTTTTCATTGTACGTTGGACATTAAACATTGTTAAGTAGCTTTGGCAATTATTTGTCAATGTTATTCAAATTCAAATGATTAGCTGAGAAGATCTGTTAATTATTCAGTGTAAACCCGAAAGCCTCGGTTCTTTTTGGTAAGTCAAACAACAGAAATTGTTTGGCAAGAAGAGCTAGCAAAGTTTATCAGTTTAAAACCCAAAAGAAGATTTGTTGATTAGATTTGTCAAATCAACTAGAAGATAGGAAGTTCATTAGTAAGCAAAAGTACCATCAGTAAAACTTACTAATGTAATTTGTGAATTAATGCTTTGTTATTAAGTCTCAACAGTAAAATTTACCAGGGTAAATAAAGGGTTGCATAATCACTGGAATAAAATATCGGTAAAATAATTCATCGTACAAAAGAGAAATTTTTTATCAAAAATTAAGAGATACCGATCTTTTTTTGGCAAAATGTTGTAATTGTTACAGTTTGCTAGATTTTCCCCTTACCTTCCCCAGTTCATTCTTGTTTATTGGTATGTATTACAAATAAATAACTTGGATGCATTTTGAAAAAGCATTAAGATCAAATTAGGCCAGACATGGCCTAATGGTTAACGTTCAAAACGTAATGCCATTGAACACGTCTGCAACGTCAGATGTGGGCGCGTTATAAAAGTGAAAAGCAATCCCTTTTTTGGCTAAAAAAAACTAACCAATCTCCTATGGTGGAAGGTGCTGCTCTCTCTGTCTATCCCCCTTCAATTCAGTAGCTCAAAATAAGGGAGAAATCAACCTGAGTTCAGGCTGAAAATATCAATTCCACAATGACATAAGGAATTATAATTTAAAGATCTATAAAATCATGCATAAGAACTATCATATCTTATAAATTACTAAAAAAGTGGTCACAGTTTGATTTAAATTTGATATTTTTATATGTTTTTGATTGCTTTGAGGTTTTTTAATGTTTCACTTTGTAAGCTTATCGAGTTTACTGTCTGTTGGTTAATTAATCTTTTTTATATATGTACTAGCGAAAATACCCGGCTTCATTCGAGTTATTAGTTTGATTTATTTTAGATGACTATGTCAGTGTGTATACTCTGAACCCATTTTAGCAAAAAAGTATAATCTATATACTTTTGTTGCTCATTTACAGGATGTGGCCTGTTTATAAAGGTAAACTTCCCTCTGACTTGTCCTCCGATTTTAAACTTAAATAATAAAAAGAAACCTATTTCATTAACGGAGCCTCTAAATTAGAAAACAACAAATATTTTTTTAAAATTTTGTAGTTTATACATTTTATTTTTATACTTTCATCACATAGACCCTTAACAACAATATTAGGTTATACTTTTATTGCTAAGCAACATGATATAAAAGCCATTGTTGGAACGCATTGTTACCAAAACGCAATGGCTTTTCTGTATATTAGAAGTTGTTATATAAGGAACCACTTCTTTTCTGTGGTTTTTCGCTAGATTGCCTCATTAAAAAGATACACGTGCTGTGTCTGTCTGTCTGTTATTTCTATTTATAATATAAGAAAATACACCATTAACTAATGTTTGATACAGTAATTGTGACAGTTTAGATTCTGAATGACCAACTTATTCATCCCATCTCTATGTTGAGAAAAACGGTGTTCACTGATTTTGGAACCAAAACTAAAATGCCATTCATAAATCAAAAATTCATATTGAATGTTACTAGGAAAAACTCTAGTCATTATGAGATAGCCAAGAAAGTGTCACTGATGTACCCAAAATGTAGTACCGATATTGTTAAAAGAAACAGTATAATCATTGTTTTGAAAAAAAAAAAACTGTCACTGTTACACAAAAAGTCGATTCTGCTATTGTTGAGAGAAACAATATTCACTGACTTGGGAACTAAGAAAATATTGTTGGTACACCGTAAAGTTCCTACTGATGTTGATGATTATTCTGGACTTGATAGTACCTCATAGAATTTCATTCATATATCAAAAGTTTGGTAACAATATTCACTGACTTGTGAACTAAGAAGATATTGTTGGTACACCGTAAAGTTCCTACTGATGTTGATGATTATTCTGGACTTGATAGTACCTCATAGAATTTCATTCATATATCAAAATTTTGGTAACAATATTCACACTTCTGTTCTAAGTGGTTTTTCGCTAGCTTACCTCTTAAAAAGATGCGCACGCACGCACGCGCGTGTCTGATTATTTGTCCGTGATTTCTATTTGTAATATAGGGAATCACTTCACTTCTATGTGTTTTTTTTTCTAGCTCGCCTCATTATGCACGCACGTGGATGAGTAATAATACCCAGGTGCACATCTCCATGGTCCATTTAATACGGGTGCAAATTTCAGGTTTCAAGGTTCTTTCCTCTTGGAGCTATAGCGGTAACATATTCTTTTCTATGTGTTTTTTCGCTAGCTTGCCTCATTAAAAAGATGCGCACGCGCATGCGCGAACGCATATACATAAGATAAGTAATACCCAGGTATACACCCTCAGTATTGGTGCAAAATTTCAGGTGTCTAGGTTCTTTCTCCTCGGAGCTATGGCAGTCATGTATTATTTTCTATGTAGTTTTTCCCTACCTCGCCTCATAAAAAGATGAGCACGCGCACGTACGTGGATAAGAAATAACACTCAGGCGCACACCCTCAGGGTTTACTTAGTATGCGTGCAAAATTTCAGGTTTCTAGGTTCTTTCTTCTTGGCGTTATGGGGGGGTCACACACACAGACCCACAGACACGCCATTTTTATTATAAATTCAATGTATATTGCGATGAAGTTGTGGATATTGAAGTATTTTAGAAATTTGAAAAGTACGGAGTATATTGCGATGAAGTTGTGGATATTGAAGTATTTTAGAAATTTGAAAAGTACGGAGTATATTGCGATGAAGTTGTGGATATTGAAGTATCTTAGAAATTTGAAAAGTACGGAAAGTAAGGGATATAACCACGCTTGACTCCACATGTTTTTTTTTTTCACATAAATCTGCAATCAAGCATGACTTTATTTATGCCCACAGTAGCTCAGTTGTAATTCTGCGGGCTTATGACATTAGAAAATCGAATTTCGATACCCGTGGTGGGCAGAAAGCTCATCATGTAGTTTTGTGCTTAATAAGAACCTAATAAAGCGTGACTTTATCACTTTTGTGAAGCTTAAACAAATCATCGATGGTTCCCTCTCATGGGCGTTTCACACCATAACAGCTAAGTGTGTGAGTGTTACATTAATCACTCAACTATCTTTATTACTTTTTCATGAAACATTGTCTTATTTAATATCATTAAAATGAATGCACAGTGATATTACAATATACGCTGAGAAAGTTTCAAGTCTCTAAGTAATTAAAATAAAAATATAGACATCCACACACATAAAAATCGAATTTGTTTGCATATAAATGTTTAGTTTTTAAAGTCAATCCTGTAAAACTTTTTTTTGCGTTCTTTGTTGGTTCTAAGTTTATAGTTTATTTTGGATTTTTTTTCTTATATTGATTTTGGATCCATTTCAGTTAAAACCGAGTTTTAAGTCATAATGTAAACATTCAGTTCTTTAGCTGAAATCAGTCGTATCGATTTTCAAGAAAATTGTTTTCATAACTATATATACTTACTTAGGAAAGATAAGTTCTCTCCAGTTCTGTTAAGTGAGATTAAATGCACTTTTAGTTTGCAAAAAAAAAAAAAAAAAAAATGTTCTTATTCGTATGTGTATTCATAACGTGACACAACGAAGTATATATGGGAAATATAGAACCTCTCTTTCAGAGAAAACCGTTAGTCTGGCTAATGCAGAAAGATGAGGCAATTTAAGATCAATGGGTAGGTAAATTTGCAAGCAGTCTATAAGCAGATGGAAAAAGTTTTTTTTTTAAAGGAAAAAGCACCTCACCCTTAATCTAGGAAACGTTCTCAACTGCGTATCCACCCAACCTAATATCGTTTCACACTCTTATTCATTAATTCCATGACTTGATTACTGGTTACACCAAGAACTTTTCTGTAAGCTTTCTCTAAAAAATCAATATATTTCCTGAAAAACGTCTACAGACTGTTTTGTTACGATCATCAGAGTA